CACGCCCAAGCAGGTCAGCCCTGGCCTGATGTGGGTTTGCCTCAGGACTGGCTGCAGTCAGGGAAGAGGAATATTCCACTTGTCACTTTTTCTTTGTGGCTCCCAGACTCCATTCAATTACAAAGTAGCTCTTACACTGTTAAAGCCGAGTGTCTCTGGGCTACAATTTCTAGCCACAGACCCTGCATTTGCTGTGCCTCAAACATGACCCTGAGGCCACATCCCATTACATACACAGCCCACAACAACGTGAACCAGTCTTCTATCTGGGTAAAGCCAGCCCAGCACAATTTCAGTGTCCTTTTGCTGTAGTCTCTCTCTTTGTATTGTCCACTTATCAGAAAATGTCATGGAAACCCAGGATGCAGGGGAGGCCAGCGATGGGCTCACTTTCAGTCGTGTCATGCAGTGGAAGAGAAAGGAAAAATCAAGTCAGTGATACCACAGTGCCTGAAGAGGTGGCGGCTAAGGCTGTGTTATGCTTTGCAGCTGGCTGTGGGGGAAGCCAGGGCAGGTGTGGCAGGGTTGCTCAGCCTCAGGGGAGGGCTGTTCCGTGTACGTCTGCTGGGTTTTGTGCTCAGGGAGAAGCTGTAGTGTGGTGACAGTAAGTGGTGAAGTACCACATGGCCCTCAGCTCGAGAAGCTGCCCCGTTCTTTTTGGAGAATGAGCTGGGCCAGGCTTGGAGGCCTCAAGTGTGTCTGGGAGACTCCTGGGTTCTGAAGGAAAGCCTGCCAAGTGGGGCAGGGGTCGGGAGGTCATCACCCTACCCGCATTCTAGTCTTCTGGTCAGATCAGGCTTTCACTCTGATCAGGAACCTGCACCTGGAGGATTTGGCAAGTGTGTTACCATGCCAGCAGCTTACTCTGAAATTCAACAGCAACAGTGAAGGTGGCTCGGTGGGTGTGTAGAGATGTGAGATGGAATGAAAGGTAGTAAAGTAAGAATAAAAGACATGCTTACACATTGCCACCCCTACTGGAAAATCTAAAATGCTCCAAAATCCAAAATATTTTGAGTGCTGACAGACACCATAAGTGGAAAATTCCCTGCCTGGCCCATGTGACAAGTCACAGGTAAAAGAAGAGTGCCCTAAAAATACCGTATAAAATTGCGTCAGGCTCCACGGCCAAAGGTGCATGTGAGACGTACATGAATCCATGTTTAGACCTAGGTTCTGTCCCCAGGATCTTTATTACATTTATTGAAATTTTCCAGAATGAAACAGAAGCACAAATTATGTCTAGTTTCACACATTTTGGATAAGGCTATTTCAACCTGTAGTAGCATTTAGGTAGGAATTGTAGTGTTCACTATAAAATTAGTTTTCTTCCGTCCTTCTTTTTTTTTTTTTTTTTTGGTAGTACTGGGGATTGAACTCAAGACCTTGCGTTTGTCAGGCAAGTGCTTATTCTACTGAGCTATATCCCTGGCCCTAAAATTCTTTCTGTAAGAAACTTCTGTATGTCTAAAATGCTTCACAATAAAATGTTAAGAGGAAATGTCTCATCGTTAAGGATCTGGGTACCTTAGGGGGAAACCTTTGTAGATTTCCTGCACTTTGGCAGTCTGTTTTCTCAGTTACTTGAGCAATGGTTAGTGTTATTGAGCTCTTGGCCCTTGCTTAGGTAATTCTGTGCTTCAGTACCAAAAGTCAAAACCTGGGGGCTGTGGAGTATCTGGACTGATCTCAGAGAACTGGGCTGTAAATAGACATCTGAGTTCAGGGTGTCTTAGAGAGATTGCAAACAAAAGCGCTGAGCAGAACCTATTCGCTAGCCCTAATTTATACAGAGCCTCTAGAAGTCAAAAGATACTCCGAATTATTTGGAGCGGTATACTTGTTTACCTAATGGGAAAATATATTTTAATTCTAGGAAAATAAAAATTAAATGTAGAAAATTTTAATAGAACTAAAGCTATTTCCTTGATGTTTTTGACTTTAAGATTTCTATACATTTGATATTGCAAATAATTATTTTAAACCAGTTCTGTTTAGGTAACACATTAGCCTGTGTTTTTAAATCATGATATGCAGTGAAGCAATTGATTTAGATTAGGAGAATTGAAATCTTGCTAGATTTATTTCCTTACTAGGAATATTTGTGAGCATATTAAAGCATTTAAGAGGATTTATTAGGTTCCTATGAGTTGTTTAAGTTGAGGCAGACAATTCTAACATTTAGAATAATGAAATAATTACTATTCCTGGCTTGAAACATGGCACAAAAGAAAAAATACATGCTTTCCAGAGAACAGGGATAGTGGCTGGGCCCATGGTGGTAGAAGCAGTGGTCTTTAGAAGTGCTGTAACGGAGCAGGATTAGATTCATAGTGCTCACCTGCAGCTTCTCCCTTGACTTAGATGGTAGGGGCCACCACCCTGTGTGGCTGTCCTGGACCCTGGCTGCCTTCGTTTAACCAAGTGCTGGCAGAAATTTAAAATTTGCTCTAGGCTCTGTGTCCTTCTCTCAAGCGGTTCTGTCTACATTTGCAGAAAATGAGCTTGGGGCAGGAGACTTTTATTTTGCTGGCTGGACAAGTTGGGTGAAATCGCATGTCATCCAGAGCCCTGGATTTATTTTGCCCTGGCCATTGAGACAGCCGCCCCGCATAGGGAGCGCAGAGCAGCCCTGAGCTGGAGGATGCTTGGCTGGGCTGCAGACATTGTCTTTTAGCTCTGGCTTCTGGTAATTAGGCACTCGTGGCTGGGCTGTGCTGTCAGCTGCCCTTTGAGACAAATTGCAAAATCTGTACAGCCATCTGAGAAATGGACAAGTAGACCCGAGGGCACTACAGGGGATATTGGTGGTGCTTAGGAGCTTGAAAGAGAATACTTAGGGAAGCAATCTTCAAAACTGAATTTAAAGGTCCTTTTCTGTGCCCTTAACAGGGACATTCAGTTTCAGGATCAGGAGCTGAGGTTTTTGATGAGTTGGAATGATGGTCCGAATTTAACAGGATGAAATGCACTGGAAGTAAATGTCAGGTTCTGTACTTGGGTCTAAGAATCCCAGCTGTGCTTGGGAAGACTGGGACAAGGCAAGATGGGACCCACCCCCATGCAGAAAAAGCAAAATAGGCCTAGTTCTATTTCGGATAAAGGATTTTCAGCACATAGTAGAATTTAAGTAGGGAGTAGAGGCCCAGAGGTTCACATTTCTAAGGTCCAGCATTCTGATTACGGCCACAAAATAAGACTGTGTTGTGTGCCTAGAGATGCCCTCACTCTCAGTTACAACAGGGCTGGCTGGTGTCACTGAGATCAAGCGCCAGAGCTGTATGTGAGGGAAACCCTGAGTGAATAAGAACTAGAAGTCCAAGTTGGTGAAACTTTACAGTTTGGTGAGGTCCTCAAAAAAAAAACCAACCTAGTGCACTATTTGGTTGCATTAATAGAAGTAGAGTATTTAGGATGAGGAGGTGATGAACGTATTCTGCTGTTATAACAAGATTATTCCTACCATTCTGGATTCCAGGCTCCGAAAGGCTGATCACAGGATGGTGTCCAGGACTGTTCCAAAGCCTGTCCCACAGAAAACGAAAGAACAGAGGAGGCTTAGCTTATGTGTGACTCCAGGGGGACCTGAAAGCTGAGGCTGATATCAGAAAGGCAGGGCCTCTCCACCCCCATGAGCATGAGGGACCAGCCTTGTTCTGGTTGAGGGGAGCAAGTAGGATCCGAGGATGGAAGTTACCTAAAGCCCTGAATCAACAGGATCTTTTTTGTTGTTGTTGTTTTAATTTGTGTGTGTGTGTGTGTGTGTGTGTGTGTGTGTGTGTGTGGCCAGCTCAGCCCACCAGGGGGCGGGGCGGGCTGGCATGTGGTGCTGGGGGATTGAACCGCGGTCCCTGTGCTTTGCTAAGCTTGTTCTAAGTAGGTGCTTTAGATCACTGAGCCATCTCACCAGCCCCAACAGGATCTTTTTACCCTTGAGTTTATTTCAGTGTGTAGTGGGCTGCTGCTTCAGGTCGCAAAGGCTGGCTTAGGCTTGGGAGGACTTAGAATTGCAGTGGTGGAAATAAATGACTCAGAGCCGCCTCCCAGCCTCCAGAGTCCCTGGTTCCTGGTGCCTTCTGGCGTCCCCTTTGAGACTGGGGTTACAAGACAAAATTCTTACCAGGTTCAGTTGTGCCTGGAAACTCGCAACGCGGGCACCAGTCAGAGCGAGCTCCACCATGGCTGGTGCATGTAGGGGGAAGGTGGTGTGCCGGCTGTGCTGCATTTGGCTTCTGTGTTGTGGGAAGGGAGCCCAGCCCTAGCGGCATGGTTCCAAAAGCCTTCCTGAGATTGTGAGCTTGAAGTGGCTTTGAAGGAGAGGGGACCTGGCCAGTGTCAGGGTGTCCAGACAGGGAGTGACTGCACCTACAGCAGACCTGAAGCTTGTTCCTGATCAAGAGAGGCCCCCATTAGGATGGAGCTGGCTTCAGCTGCTGTAGGGCGTATTAGGAAATGGAGGTGTCACTTACTATACAGGATGTTTCAAAAATATTTTCAGTTCCTGGTGTTAGAGAAGGAATCAAGTCGTAGCTCTGACTGCCTCAGAAGGACCCAGGGCTTGTGAAGTTTGTGTCTGCTTCATGTGCTATCTCGGCAGTCCATCTCCTCACATAGCTCCTGGGGATTCCTATCATATCATAGTTCTTCAAAGTCAGGTTACCCGTCAAGGCCTCTGGGGCCTGCCCTTTCTCTTGGGCTTCTGCAGACTCCTGTGGGTTGAGAAGCGAGGACAGGGAGGAAAATGACTGAAAAATTAAAAACTGGAAAAGAACCAAGTTTTCCTTATTCCTAGTAGAATCCATCCTTATGTAGTACAGGCACGCAAACAAAAAGGCAGATTTTAAAAGATACATTTGTTTTCAGTGGATAGATACAGTTTTTCAAGAAACTGTACTGTTTATGATTCCTATCATGAATAAATGAGTAGCCACAATTTAAAAATTCTTGGTCTGATTTTTTTTTTTTTAATCCATCTTATCTTAAATTCTTCTTTCTTTCAGGTAGGAATGAATTGATAGCCAGATACATCAAACTCAGGACAGGGAAGACGAGGACCAGGAAGCAGGTACAGTAACCCGCTTGGGTGGTGTGCATGTCAGCGAATGGCCCAAGAGGCATTTGGCTGCAGTGGCTGCTGTGCTTTGGCTCCGAGGAGCCCCCAGTTCCAGTCCCCTCTCAGGACGTCAGCGTTGGAGGTGTTCCAGATTGGCTCTGTTTCTACTGTTCATCATTTCAGTGACCCTGCAGTCTGTGGTCTCCCAAGTTCTGTTCATCCAGTGTGGGAAAGGCTGCCTGCTAAGGACAGTGTCTGAACTGGCCTTGCGCTGTGTTTCAAAGCTAGTACTTCTTTCCCAAAATATGCATCTGCCAGCACTCACTGCAAAAGCTGCGAGGTGTAACTACGCCTGTAAGCGTGTGCTCGCTGCTGAAGTGAGTGTTTATTTCATGTGGTACCCTGGCAGTACATTTTCCCAGCTAGCTCCTGGAGATATAGACTTTGGAGATTTGTGCTTTGTAACAGCCTGGAACATTAATCATATTAATCATCCTTTCAATGAAAAAGTAATGCCGGAAGCCTTGAGTCTTGGCCTGAATATAAATCCTGAATGATATGCATTCAGTACACTGTCCGTTCTTAAATGATGGCTTTTTGTTGGCTACTGGGATTGAAATTAAGTTACGACTTAAATACTTCTGCAGGGCAGGGGCAGGCTGCTCCTGCACCCTTCTCCAGGGTTCTGCCTGCATCGCATCTGTAAGATACAAAACAAGTCAACTCTGATCACCCAGTTCAGAACTGAAAGGGTTAAAACAAATCGGTGCTTAGCCAGGCTGAGTAGAGCACATCTAGAATTCCAGCACTTGGGAGACTGAGGCAGGAGGATGGCCAGGAGTTGAAGGCCAACCTGAACCACAGAGTGAGACTCTGTCTCCAAATACAAACAAACAAAAACCCAAACAATAAAATAATGTTTGAGAACAGAAAAAGAAAACTAAAACACCTCCTGCCCTGCGTGAGTTAACAGATAAAAAGTAGTCTGAAAGTTGACTTACTCTGAATGATATACGACATGGACCTTAATAGCTGTAACCAGCCAGGCGTGGTGGTGCGTGCCTTTAATCCCAGCTACTTGGGAGGCTGAGGCTGGAGGCCATGCATTGGAGGCCAGTGTGGGGCAACTTAGTTTTAAAACAAAAGACCTAGGACCAAACAGAAAGCTCACCAGTGGTCTCTTTAAGACTGGCGGCATTGGGCTGACCTCCCTGGAGGCGTGGCTCCTTTGAGCCTGGATCAGGGGCCAGGGCCGGGGACCTGGTGCTGAGTCAGCACGAGTGGGGTGGCCTCCCGCCATCCCAGGGCATTGTCTGCTCAGGGGATGCTCCCCGACAGTGGCCCACATCCACTCACAGATGAACAAAATTCGGGTGAAAATAGCAACAGCAGGAGTGACATGGAGGGGTGAAGAGAATGGGGGAGTCCCCGCTTCTCTGTACTTGAAAAAAGTACAAAAGCAAAATGAAAAAATTGAATAATTGAAACACAGAGACCAATTGAAAGATCAAAGGCTCTTTTGTTCTCATCAGTCTTCTTTTTAGAGTCACTAGAGTTTGAAATGAGGGAATCCCCTGCAAAGTTGTCAACTTGTGAATGGAAGGTTCTGCGCCTGGGAAGCAGACACAGTGGACTCCCTACCTACTGCAGGTGCTGGACCAGGCTGTCTGCTGGCCTCTGGGCTCCGGTCACTTGCTCATGACTCCTGTCCCGGGGGAGTCTTTAAATTTAACCAAGTTCCTCCAAAAGAGATGCAAATTTGTCTGTTGCTGCAGTCCTTGTGTTTCCAAAGCTGGGCTTGGCTGTGTTTCCACACCCCAGCATCCTGGGGGTTTTCTAGGCAGCAGTTGGTGATACCGCTCTTGTGTGAATTTGTTGTTCAGCAAATCCATGTGGTTTTCGACCCAGATTTTTAACAGGATGGCTGGCTGGCTGTATTCACACATTTTGCTTTGTAATAATATGCAAATCTATTGGCACCCAGTCCATAACCAAAAGAGTGGAAGGATTAAAGATATTTTATAAGATGGGGGAACCCCACTCTGCTAACTGGGTCTTTCCATTTCTCCTTGAGATCTAATTTACATGTCAGTATTATTTTAACATTTGCTACAGAATCCAGAGCTCTTAATGAGATTGGAATACAACCGACAGCTTCAGCTATTTGATTCTACACAATGTGCTAATTTATGGATATTCTCCCCTAAATTAAGGAAAGGGGATTTTCCCATCTGATACTGAGATGCTATAAATATTTTCATCTACTTCCACTCCCATCTTAATTTTATAAAGCAAACAGCCCTATTCTCCCCCTCACCCCTCCCCAAGCTAGCTTTTCCAGTGCCCGTGATTTCTCCCGGATGGGAAAGTAAAAATGAGCCCAATTTTCATCCTGAATCAAGTCACTGCAGTGATGACCCAATCTAACGAGCTTAGAGCAGTGCTGGGGGCTTGGTGTCTGGCCGGGACTGTGTGTTCCTAACTGCACAGCTTTGTTGAGACGCAAATAACCTCCCCTCCCCGACCCTCCCAAGGAGTAGCGATTTTATATTTGATTTCCTTTTTTTGTTTTGTTTTGTTTTGTTTTTGTTTTTGTTTTGTTTTGTTTCCCTTCATAAACCCGAACAATGTAGGTGTCTAGTCATATACAGGTCTTAGCAAGAAAGAAAGTTCGAGAAATTCAAGCCGCCATTAAGGTACGTCTGGCTTGCCCAGTTGTAGGGGGCTTTTCATCTCCATGGTTACAGGCTTTTCCTTTGTTTTCCTCCCTTCCCCTACCCTGCAGGTGTCTAGTCACATTCAGGTTCTTGCCAGAAGGAAATCTCGTGATTTTCATTCCAAGCTAAAGGTATGCGCTTTTCTGCTTTTTGGCTTGTGGTTGCTATGCACCTCACTTCCTGTTTTCCATGGTGACTGGTGAATGCCTGGTGCTGGGATTCTCGTAACCTAGTTTCCTTGCATGTTAGAGCTGTTTACATTTCTTTGTGTCTAATCCCTCTGTTTCTGTACTAGCCTCACATTAAACTCTGTGTGCGCGTGTGCGTGGGTGTGTGTATGTGTGTGTGTGTGTGTTCCTAATAACAATGCAAATGCAGCAGAGAGCTGGTCTTGTAACTTTTCAGCATAGAAACAAGATTTTTTTTTTGTTTTTAACCCCTTCAAATGGCCACCAAGCAGTCCTGGGCTAGGAGAGCTTTTTCTCATCCTTGTTAAAAAGACAGTCCCGAGATGCAAAGTTAATAGAGACAATACTTTTTAAAAACCATTTCTAGTGGTCATGAAATTACTCTTAAAAATATTTAGTAATTTTAACTTATGCTTTTAATATAAATTTTCAAGAATATTTATTAAAACTATGCCTTTTTTCACATTACTTTCAACACAGAATTTTTTTGTCTGTGTTCTTCCACATAGCTTAATATTGTTTAAATAAATGGCCCTCTTATTAAGAGAAATTTTAAATGTGACCATAAACAAGAAAAAAAATGGATCTTAGAGACAAAAAAGGCTCTTGATCCATTTCATTCTTCCCATTCCTTTTACACTCAGTTTATTTAATTGTTTAAAAATATAGGCCTCAAATTCAACACTTTTAAAATGTATTTCATACGAAAAAATGAAGGCTTTGATTTTTTTCTTTTTTCTTTTTTTTTTTTGAGAACAGGGGATTGAACTCAGGCCCTTGCACTTGCCAGGGAAGTGCTTATTCTACTGAGCCATCTCCCTGGCCCTGATCACTCTTATTTTTTTTGTGTGATACTGAGAATTGAACCAGGCCTTACACTTGCTCTGTAAGCATTCTGCCACTTAGGTTCATTCACATCCCTTTAATGTTTGGGGGAAAAATTGCTACGGAGGGTTGCTAAGTGGCCCAGGCTAGCCTTGTACTTGCAATCTTTCTACCTCAACCTCCTGAGTAGCCGGGATTGTAGCTATATGCTACTGCCCCAGGCTGATAATTTTATAATACGTGTTCTTCTAAGATTTACAGTAGAATTGCCAGGTGCTTATTTGTCCATATTTCTTGACTTTAATAATATAGGAGGGCTTGTGATTTGCCTGGAGAAGGTTTAGTCTAGAGTTAAAAAACCTAATTTTTAGACCATATTGTGGCCTTTCCCACATGTCCCTCCCCTGATATAGTAATTAAATCAGTATTTTTGTTCCACATTAAGCAACAGTGTCATTTCTTAGTGTGGAACATAGGGCTGGCCTCCAGTTCTTTTTTACCTGCCAGCAGACTGGGGCTAGGGCGCAGGACTAGCAGCAGGAAGGAGCGCTGGGTGTGCCCCGCAATGGGCAGCATGCTGGCTCGCTCGCTCGCTCGCTCGCTCGCACGTGTGGCTGATGGTGGCTGGCTCGAGCGGCACTGGCTGAGCAGTGGGAGACCACGCTAACTCCCTAGACCCTGCTTTTTAACCAGAGGGCCGGCACTTTCTCTGTGGATGCAGCTACCCCTGTGTTTGCTCAAGTTCTGACTCTGTTTCTAGTTTCTCTGAGCTAATGAATTAATGATGTACCAAGAAGTATTTAGATACCAATTTTGTTTTGCCATCTATGATGTGAATTGCTCTGTTTCTGTATTGCTTGTGTATTTCCTATCAACTCGGCAGGGCATACAGCCCTGGATCAGAAGCCGTAGAAGTCATAAAGAATGCTTTTCTGTTCAGGAGAGAACACCGTGGAATACAGGAAAATTGCTTAGAGGTTTTAAGAATTTTTTTCCATAGAAATAATAAAAACTGACATAGCTCTATGTTTATTCTCAAAAAAATAAATAAATAAATAAAAAAGATTCTTTGCCCCCTCCTTCCGGACCTGCCCCACTCTCTGTTGGAGGAGACAGAAAGAAGAATGGGAACAGACTGTCAGATAGCAGCTGCCTCAGCACGCACACTCCAGAACCACCTTATTTTAGCTGTGCTTCTTTCCTTTCTCCCTACCAGTCCTTTTTGGAAAACCAGACCCTTTTGTTTTTGATCAGCTGATATGAACTGAGTGTGCTGGATTTGGCATTCACTGGGGTGGGTGGTTGGTAGCCCACTTCCCATCCCAGAGCTGGCCATGTAAGTGGAAATGGGAGAAGTGGGTGCACCCCGTGGCCCCCATGTTCTGCCAATTCCAAGGAACAACTTAGAAGAACCTGGGGCTCTGAGCCTGTTGACTTTGGTGAACATTCCCAGGCCTACTAAGGGGCAGAGGCTCCATTTGAATTTGGATGTTTTTAATCTTAAGCCACTACTCTTTCAGAGAGGATTTCATGAAGTGGAGGTAGGAGAATGCTTTCAGCCAGGAAGCGTCATGCCAGGACACCGTGCCTGACCTGTGAGCTATGGCTCGCACCACCCTTGCGGCCAGCCTTCCATACACCCACTACATGTTACCTTAAAGTGCTGGGTCACACTGTAGACCTCACTTGTCTGCGTGATTCATTTCGCTTCAATGTGAGTGATACTGTTGGCCATCAGTAATTTGGCTGCTAATGTCCTGGCTGCAGAGCTGCTTGGTCACCACGCTACGGGCATCTAGTGGTTGAGGAGAGTTGTCTGGCCATTGAGTACTTGCTTCTGACATTGCTGCCTTACGCCTCCTCTGGACATCTTGTCCTTTACTTCTCGGTGAGCCAAAGCAGGTACCTGCTCAACACCTGGAGGGCAGAGGTGATGGCTACTTCCCTGCTGTTCAGCCTGCACACCCTGTTCCTCGAAGAAACAGGCTCCCGAGACGGTGGCTGTGTTCAGGGCACAACCACAGATGAATCACCCTAGCTGCAGAGCCTCTCTGCTGAAAACCTGATAGACCAAGTCCCAAAGGCCAGCTTTGTGCTTCTGCTAATTGCAGCCCTTCTCAGAGAGTTTTGTGGTGGCCCAAATCACTCCCAATGTCTGGGGACTTCACTTTAGCTTTGAACAAAATGTTACTCTAGCAAACGTGTAAGTTTGTCCACATAGATCTAAATCTTAAAAGTACAAGATGAATGAGTACTAACTGAGCCCACTTGGGTCTCATTGAGAACCCAGTGTACACTAGGCCCCATAGATGTTGTGCACACAAAATTGAGTATGCAGTCTGCATGCTTAGGGAACCCTAAGTCTCTGTTACTCTTCCCAGTAGGTTGTCCATAGCTGGAGCCTCTGCAGTAGAAATTAAACTGGGTCATACAAAGGCCAGTCAGGGGAGAGAATGATCAGTTCCGATAGTGGAAAACTTGCAGAAAGCTTCACAGAGGAGGTGACTACGAACCAAGCACAGAGGAAGGCTTTTAATTTCTAGAGATGAGGTGTTTGGGGGACCCTGGGACAGGCAGAGGGAGATACGAAGTGTGCAATAGGAAGGTCTAGCATCGCCCCACTGAAGGACGCTCACCTGTGGGCACTGGGTAGCACATGCAGTAGCTCAGGCACATACCCTGGGATGACCCCTCCATCTGGGTTTTGGAGAAGAGCTTAATAAGGAGGCCAAGCTGAAGGCAGAGGATGATTCCTGGACTGTTCCATTGTGGAAAAGAGGAGATGGGGACTAGGCCAATGACAGCTCTGGAGCCTCACTCTGTGACTCTCAGCCATCCTTGGGTGGCTTCCCATGCCATTATTTAATTATTTTTATGTGTTTGGTACAGGGTCTCACTATGCAGCTTGGACTTGTAGTGATCCTCCTGTTTTCAGCCTCCTTAGCGCTGGGATCACAGACGTGTGCCACCAAGCTGGGTCTTGGTGGTTGGCTCAGTGCACCCTGTGGCAGGGCCAGCACAGCATGTGCTGTCGGGGATCAAACCTTAGTTCCTGTGCTTTTCTAACTAGGCACTTAGTTTGCTGAGCTGTGTCACTGGCCCTGACTACTCTGTGTGCTTTCTTCCTTTCTGTTTTTAAAAAATTAATTATGTTTATAGATTCTATCCTTGTTAAGTTTACAAGTTGTATATCAGAATATTTTAGAAAAATATTTTTAGTAGCAACTTTTAAATCTTAGCTTAGAGCTGGTGAGATAGCTCAGCAGATTAAGCACCTGTTTAGTTCAGGTACTGGATTTCAATCCCTGGCACCACATGCTGCGCTGGACCTGCCTCTGGTGTGCAGTGTGCTGGCGACCGAGTCTAGGTGTGGTGGCACACACCTGTAATCCCTGTGCTGGGGAGACTGAAACAGGAGGATCACTACAGGTCTGAGCTGTGTAGTGAAACTGTGCACAAAAAAAAATAAATAAAATAAAACTTAGCAAAGGTTGAGTTCTTGAAGGATAATGGCAATTAAGCGTGTGCACCAAAATTATTTGTGAAGGGCTGGGGAGATAGCTCAGTAGAATAAGCACTTCTCTGGCAAGCTCAAGGGCCTGAGTTCAATCCCTGGTTCCACCCAAAAAAAAAATGTGAATTATTTATTGTTGCAAAATTTTAAATACATGAAAGTTAGTACAGAGAACATACTGGACACTCAGATTTATAGGATTCTAAAAGAATGATTTTCCTTCTGGCATAATACAGTTAAGTTTTTCAGCGTGAAGTCAAATGGTAGAACATCATTCTGTACCTCACCCAATTTTTTCTACCCTCCTTCTCCACCCACCGTCAGTTGCCCTATGTGTCCCTGAGAAAAAAGATCAAATGAAGACTCTTCACCTTTGGCCTCTTTCCTGAAATTACCTACACGTTCAGCCCTTGTCAGCCACAAATTTGTGCTCCAGCCTTCGACACCAAAGTGAGACTTAGCACTAGCAGTTTATAGCACCCCAGCTCAGTGTAGAGCTGGCAGCATTGTGGACTGGCCTGAGATGCATGTCGCGACCGCATGGGACAGAGGCAGGGGCAACACAGTGCAGAGGATGATTGAAAAGCATCAAAGGGGTGGGAAG